AGTGGCCACAAGAAAGTGGTAAATAATAACAAATTAAAATGGGTGATTAAAACCTTGCAATTCTTTACACTACTCATCAAAAGAGTTCTTGTGACATATTTACAGCGCTAAGACACTCAAAATATTTCTAGTATTGATAATATGATGCTGACCCATTAATTTTTTTCCCCTAAACACTGAAATCTTTGCCAGATTACTTTTCTTTGTATTTTTATCTCTTCTACTTCATTTATGAGACCATTTGCAATACAAAAATAACGGCACATATAGATGAACTTAAAAAAGTAAAAAATACAAATAAAAATATATAATATTTTCCAAAGGAAAAAGTCAGATACATACATCTTAGCAACATTTTTAAAGTTGTGTGATATTTTCCCAAACATGTACAATAATATAAGAATATCCACATATATGTTAACAATATGTAAAACATTCTTCCACCAACCCAACTCTCCATAATACTTCAGGGAAGTGTGCAAGTACCAATGGGATCTGGGAAATTAATACAATTTATTTTTAAAATAGAAACAAGTAAAACACTAACGGTCCCAGGTTAAGTTAAGGCCCCCTGCTTTCAAAGAAAATTCAATTTCCAAGCAGCATTGATAATTGGATGCATTTAAAAACAAAATGAAACAAAAACAACACTCCAAATCCCTTTTAAAATACAAACTCCACTTGTTCTGTGAAGTATCTTTTTCAGAAATGATGGTGGCAGGCACTTGTTTCTAACTGCATTTAATGAATCCAACCACCACGTAAAATACTTTAATAACAGAGGGTGCAAGAAAACCTTCATTTGTACATTACAGCAACACTGACATCCATAAAAACAAATGGCAGAAAAGGAAAAAAAAATCATGTTTTAATTTAAAAAAAAAAGTTAGTTTTAATTCCAGTCAGTGAAATAGAATTTTTACAATGACTACAAATTAGACTTTCTTTTGACCACTATCTTTGCAGATGTGTTTTGTGTGAGTCTTTAGTGTGAAAATATAGGAATCTCATTAGGTAAAATACAGAGATTTAAAAATGTAATGTAAGATGGTCAAGCAGCAGAGATCAGGAAATCTGAAGGGAAGGATCAACCTCTGCATGCCTTGAAGCTTTCCATCACTTTCAATTACTAGGCTGACAATACCTCTGCAGTTCTTACTGAAGTAGCCCTGATTCAGGCAAAACCCCACTGCTGAAGGTGGTAATATGCCCCCCGTTACAAATCATACCAGCTGGCTCCTTCCTCCTGCGTGTCTCAAAGAGCTTTGCAAGGAGAGGACTCATCTCCGTCCCCTGCCCTTGCTGGGGGTGGGCAGGCACAGCCAGAGCTGCAGCCTTGCACGGCTGAGCCGGGTTTGCCATCCGGTCAGAGGGACAACTCCCTCCACACCCCATGGGGATCCAGGATCCCAGCCGTGTATCCTGGCACAGCCCCAGCCTTGCAAGCACCACCTTCCCACGAGCACCAAAGGCCTGCTGATCTCCTTTGGGGTTGCTTTGTTACTCTCATGGCATGACCATGTAACCCGGCCAGGGCTGCGATGCTCAGTGGGGCCAAAGGTAACTTTCCACACCTTACAGCAACCTTAAGAATTATTCCTTTTCCAACTCTATACTTTACACATGTGCAGATAAATGGATTTGATTGTTCTGAAACTCATTCGTACTACTTACACCATAGACTAAAAGAATATACAAACAGCTGGATGAAGAGTATCATTCTGCTTTGCTACGCTATCAGAATACGACATCACGACCAGCAATAAATAAAAATATAAATCAAAAATACATTGTATCACTGTTCTGTGATTTAACATCTCATGCTTTACCTCAGAAAAAAATAAAAAGTTTTCCAAAGCATCCTGAAAGAAAGCTTTCCAATAGTTAGTCCATGAATATGAAGACAAGGACCATGTATGTCAGACATATTCCATACAGTGCTTAAAAGATTTGTGGCCTCTGTAGCAGGACTTCTGCACAATGTGGTTTTAATGCACTGGAGTAACAGATAATTACAAAACTTCATATGAAACAAATACTGAAAACTCTCAAAGAAACAAGGATTAATCATACCTGAAAAAGTCAGGGATATATAAACTGTGTAGACTAATACCACTACACATTTCCACAATTGAAAAGACTGGTAGAGGAACTACTGCTCCTGTCACAAGCTAAACAAAACAAAGCATATCTATCTGGAGGAATGCCACTAAAAGATACAACAACACACTGGCAGTTCAAACTGTAGCTTTGCCATCAAAAGAAAAAAGATGTACTAGCACCAGAAATAGTTGCTTCTTGAACACAACAAATACGTTGCAAGTCTTCACAGGGTGCTTTTCTTGATGAACTATTAAACCAAATTTTTTATTTTTTTCTTGTACTGACCATGCAAATTTTCTAGATACCTTTAAGTTTCATTTCAATTCAATCTGAGATGCAAGTATTAATGCCAAATCTATGTATGCAGTTTAACCTTTCAAATTAAAATTGTTTATCTACTGCTCACTCATGGTTATTTAAAAGGAATGAACAGTTCATGATACTGAACAACACAAAGGCTAAAAAAGCCAAGTAAGATTATTTGAAAAAAAAAAAAAAAAGGTATTCCTACCTGCTGGAAATTTAATAAAGAAATTAATCTACAAGACAGAAAAGAAAGCAAATGAAGGTGCTTAAGTGTTTCTTCAGTAGGGTCTCAGTGTCAGAGAGTTAAAAGAGAATTGAATTTTGACTAACATTTAACAGTAGCATCTATAATTATTTCCTGAATGACAAAACCATGGACCAAAGCTCTACTAGCTTTATTTGTGCATATGGAAATGGATACTAGGAGGGCAGTTAAAAAATGTAAGTACACAAATTAAAAAAGAAAGTGCTAATTATTTATCAGCATTATTTATCTTGTTGCTATTTCTTGAGTTGTGTTTGTGGATAGTCTCAATATGAAGTTGCTAAATCATGAAGCCAGATAATAAACATCCTGCTTGATTTTGCATGTAAATACTCTGAATGACCTTTAAAAATATTTCATCTTACTGTACTGATTGCCAGTATTCGATATCTTAAGAAACATTCAGCTTCTCATCTCCACAGGTACCATACACCCAGCCAAATGTGCCAAGCCAGGACACTGACACGAGCGACTCTGCTCTGTCAGGCAGGCAGCCAGCTCCTCACCCAGCCTGCTGGCTCTCTGAGACAGTGCTGCCTCCACCAGCAGACTGGAAGTGGCAAGTCAGAGGCTTACAGGGTGCTGCTGCTGTCCTCCTTCTGAAAGGCCCCCAGTGGTGTTATTGCTGGAACACTCTGCTAACATTTTATATTCTGTCTGTGCCTCCTGAACATTCCCACTGTTGTAATCATCACTATTCTAACAGGTTGATACTTGCATCTCTGAAAATTTAGGGAAAGCAAAACATATTTCCTTATATCCGTGAACACTTGTTTATTTCTTACTATTGGAAAGAGTGAATTGAGCAGTAAAAATACATATGTATTCAGTGTATAGTGTGAGATTTTTGTTTTTATTAGTAAGATAATACTAATTGGAGGCCACTAAATTGACTTTTTGCTTTAAAAATCTGTGTTTTCCTCAGTGAAAAGCTGGGTTTGATTCCAATATACCAAAATGACAATAAAGATTCATCAAAGAGAAATATTCCATTATAGTGGCATTTCCATTGATCTGAGATTGTGAAGCAATACAAAAAGTGTGACCCCATCTTCACATGATTTAGAAATGATGTAGCAGGAAAAAATGTGCGTTCCAAGAAGGGCATAAGGTGCCCTCACATGAATGGAGACAAGCTGTCTTCTTCAACTTTAGTTTTGGTCTACATATGAAAGACAACTCCTTAAAAAAACAACCCTAAAAAAGGGATGATTCTGCTACATACATTAGGAACAGAAGTGATATAAAAAGAATTTCCATCTGCCAAATATGGCACCATTTCTCATAAATTATACTCTCAAACTAACTTCAGTGCACCATATGAAGACTCAAAATGGTAAAAAATACCTCGTGGCAAAACTACAAATGTGCACAAATTTCTAGCAATAAAAAAAAGTGGAGAAGGAAATGTTTCTCTAGAAAGCCATCTGAACAGAAAGGGAGAAAAATCAACACATTTAACAGTGGAGTGTGGTGACAAGCGTGCAGTGATAATCACACAGAATTGTTTCTCTCCAATGCTTTTTGAGCAATAATGTCCACTAAAATCACCGTAACAACATAAAAGAAGCAAGATGAATACATCATTCTGTGAAACACAAAAATAAACTCTTTCTTTTCTAGACTTAAAGGCTTCAAAGACTCTGAAATAAAAACTGTTAATACTGAAACAAGATGAATATGTGGCTTGAAAGTATTTTCTTCAATGCCATCATCACAAATGTTGAATAGATTATTGAAATGCATTCTTTATGGCAACAGAAACAGGAAAAGGAAACAAAACCAACCATTGCTTCCAAATTCCCGTAGAGAAGTTCAGCTAGTTATGTGTAATTTAAAGTGAATAACCTGAAAACCACACCATGATAAATACATCTCTGGTCAGTTCCATTGTTCTATCCTCCATCCTCTGGAGGATGATCTGATCCATCCCCACCTCAAGAGTGCTTTCTCCTCCAGCAGTCCCAAAATACAATATGCAGAGTGTATACACTCTGTCCATCCTCGAGTGAGGTTGAGAAGCGTCTGGTCTCAGGTGGTGTCTGCCACCAAATGATCCCTGCAGCACCTCTGTAACCTTTTCAAACAACCCACAGAGAAGTCTGGTTTCTTCTTCAAACTTCTGTCCCTCTTGATTAAGGACTCAACAGGGCCTATCGTGAATGTCTCCACGACCGTGAGCAGTGCAAGGCAAACCGACGCTGATCAACAGGCGGGACCCTCTCTGATCAAAGGGGCCAAGTATCCCACAAGAATGGAAGCCATCCACCTGCAGCTGGAATGCTATTCCCCAAAAATTCAAGGCCTCTCTCTATGCTCCTCTGGTTTATCTCTTTTTAGCAATGAGCCATGGTGTGACTCCCTTGAGATGACAAAAGGAAATGACTCAGAAGCTGGAATCAAAGGTCACCGTCAACAGCCACTCATGATCACACAGCAAGCAGGTTTGGCACACAAACTCATGCTTTTAGTTCACACGAGCAGATGTGGTGTCATGGATCAGTGACGTGCTTAAGATGGACATGGAAGCCAAGTCAGTAAACTCCAACAGCAGCTGGCGCAGTACATTTCATAGCATTTTGCTCTTATTTGGTCACAATTTCTTGTAAACTAGTTCATGGCACTCATTGTCCATGCACATCCACAAGCCAAAATATAAGAATTTACAGAAATATTAATTTCTATTAGTGATCATTGTTTCGAGATCTCCCCCATTAGAGAGACAATCTTTGCAGGTTTATCCTGCAGTTATTGTATCATCGAACTGCAGATGCAGGTGAAAAAAAGAAGTATGTATGGACTACTGCAAACAAGTAGAAGCAGCTACATGTAAACATATCTCAGACTTGTAAAATCATATGTTCAGTTCTCAACTATAAATAAAAAAAGTGGAGCACTATATACACAACTTCATGCTTGTAAGGTTAGATTCATCACTGCAGAGACAAAAAGAGATACAGATTAATCACATTAGTAAGATATTTCAGACATCTATTACAAATACATAGATAGGGCAGAGTTGCAAATATGGACAGTTATTTCCTCAGCACTAAGTATTCTTCAGAGATAAATGCACCTGGGATTTCACTTATGCTTCATGTTTTCTGATATATTATATGTCACTATCCTTCCAACTATATTATTCTGAATGCTGTGTTTTTAAATCAAGCGCTGTCTTGGTTAAATCTTTACTAAAATAATGTTGCCAGTTAATATTGCCATAAAACACAAAACCCAGGAGGATTTATTGAAATATAGAAAAGAAAGGCAAAGAGAAGGTCAGGATACACTGTCCTTCTCGGTATCCCAGAAAGCCAATATAATAATATATTGACACGTATATTTGACAAAAATGCCACATCTATGAGCTTTTATAATGAATAGGAAGCAATGATCATCTGCAGAAACTAAAGGATGTGTGAGTCTTCATGTGAAGAAAGAAAAGTCTTGGACTTCTCACAGAACTAATGCCAACTATTTCTACAGTACTGCCTCAATGAATTATTCTACATAAATCACAACATATCACATGAACTACTGTCATGGAGAGGTCTGATCTTGCGTTGCTGGATATGAACATCTAGGGGGCTCTGAAGCGTATCTTGATACAGTATGATTGTGACAGGCATTTCTGTGTTCTAAGGACATACTGGTCCTGAAAAGAAAAACCTCTGCCCATCCTACCTTTTGCCAACAGCCAGGCATTGGTAATCCATCAGGACCCTGTTTCAAGGGGAGTAGGAGGATGAAAAAAAAAAAAAAAAAAAAAAAAGCATAAGTTAGTTTGACAGGATGGATATTTCATCAACATCTGTTAGAACAGCTGAAGCAGCTTTGACTTTCTATCTAAAAAGTAGCTACCCGTTAGCTGATTCCCTCTCTTATTCTCAAAGTGAGGGAAAATCCAAAGGCAGGAAGGTTTACACTGTAAATACATACATGCACTTCTCTGCCATAAAGATTTGGTTTTGTTTCTAGATCATTACAACTAGTTTCTTATTGCTACTAGAGATCAGGTTACATGTTATTTTAAATATAATCTGTTTTATTCAGGATAATCTGTATCTGAATGTACAAGATCAGTGAGAAAAACAATACTATTACATTTATCTGGAGAGTATGACGTTTTATGGGCCCCTCGTTCAAAGGGCAACTTGTGATAAGACAGCAAGACTCGAATGGGAGTAGGATCTTTTCACTTTCAATATCAGTTTTTGAATGAAGCAGTGAAATCCTAAGGCCTGAACACACCTTGAGTGACACAGTGGAAGAAAACATCAGCAGTGAGAGCAGGGCAGTACAGCACCACTGATTGTTTCAATGCTTGGACAGTATGGCCATCTAATTTCTTCTCATGTTAGTGAGAGTCACTCCTTTTCATGTATCAATTCTACCTTCATGTATCTCCATGCATCCAGTAAGATAAGAGCCAGCTTTTGACCAGAGTCTTACTGGTTTTCATGGATCTAATTCATATTTACATGGTTTATTCAGAAAGTTATATGCTCAGAATTAGGAGCACATACAATGTAACTAGACCGTGCATAAGCAGAAAAAAAATCAGGCCTTTAGATTTCTTATAATTTAAAATACCAATACTTAGTGTTAACCTACATATGAAGATAATAGTAAATACAGATTTTTTAATATACTTGCATGTGGTCTGATGTGAATGACTTGCTGCCTAAACAAGAAACAGTGCTGCATGCTAAACAGCTTATTCTAGCAATTATCCACAAACAGAATATTTTTGATCCATCAACGATTGTTAGTGAATCTTCAGATATAAATGATAATACAGAGACAGAGAAACATTTTTAAATTACAAAAGCATGCTTGATTATCCCCAACAAAATATGAGATATGGTTACCATTAATTGGAAGCAAACAACATGGACTATGGAATAATCTTAATGGACTATGTATTTACAATTAAAAAGCAATTGACTTCAAATAGAAGTGCTACAGTCAAAATAAAACCTATTCAAATTTAACATTCATCTCAGAGAACCGTGCTTAACCACCAAACAATATCAGAACATGCAGATCGAATTTTACTGTGAACAATTAAAAAGAAAATCGTCCTTGTATCTTTAGGGAATGTGTATCTACTATTCATTTGGGGTTTCCTCTCTTAAATGGAAAAGAGTTCCAACTTACTTTACCACTAAATAAAAATAATTGTTGCCAGATTGGTACAAGGGAGAGGGTCAAGAAGTAGCATTTTAGTATAGGTGGGAACTTGAATTCATGCTAGCATAGGGTGGGGAGTGTTGTGTGTATTCCAGGAGGGTAAGTTCCAGGGGTAAGACCATTAAATTGAGGACATTAAATAACAAAGACAATGAGGGTTTGGGCTGCAGACCGTTACATTCTTACAAACATCAGGGAAGCTTTTTATTTCCAGATGCATTTGAATACTCTGATGAACAGGCCAGACACCACAAACATTACTTGTGGATAGTCTGGAAGCCAAGCTCCAGCTTGGTTTACTGGAAACCTTGATTTTTAGAAATGGTATTTGCATCCTTCTGTTTGTGACTCTCATTTTGGCCAAATTGTGAAAACATGGCCCTAAGATGGCATGGATTTGGAAGGAAGGCCAGGGTGCAGAGCAGCTACAGGACAGGCCAGGGTGTGGAACTGAGCCAGTGCAGACAGAAGTCACCAGACTTGATTAGAGGTGAACGTTGTGCTGGATTTCTACAACTTGAGTTCAGGGTGAGTGAGGCAATGGGTATTTTGCAAGGAAAGTAACAAACCAATGATTCTCAGGGAAAATGTAGGAAAGACACAAACTTAAAAATTACCAGGTGATGTGGGAGCAAACTGCTGAGTTAGGCTTAAGGTGTCAACAAAAACGTGTGTTCTCTCACGGCGGTTATGATCACTTGAAGCAGCTGGTTTGTTCATGCACATGCATGTGTTACGTGAAAAATGTAGTCAGCTCAGAAAAACATTACTTTACATTGAGAATGGCTGACTACAAACAAAGGAACTGCATGCAGGGTTGGTAGGAAAGAGAAATACTGTACCAATTGGCAAGGGGCATCCAGCCCATCCAGGCCAGGCTGGCCTGGCTCCCCTTTTTCCCCCTTAATTCCACGGAATCCCTGTTTGTAAAGATTAACTTGCAATGTTACTGTCAAGGAAATGCCTTCAGTATTGACTTAAATGGAGTGAACAAAAAACAGAGAGGCAAGAGGAACAAGCTGACTGCTTATGATTTAAACCTGTGGGGCACTGATTCTGGCACATTCCAAATTTGGCTCCTTTCCAACGTATTTCACAGAAAAAAATGTAAAAAAAACCCAAAAATGCACTATCAAAACCTCATAAACTTAGCCCAAAGGTCTTAAGTCTTAACCCCAGTTAGGAGGTTTACAAAGTCTGCTCCAGAATTTGCACTTGAGATGAAGCTGTGTTAACAAAGGGCAACAGGTGACAACAGTAGCAGGTGCTTGTTCCTCTCCCCTCGTTTCTTATTCCATCAGTTTACAGCAGGATGACTGATCTTCCAATACACAAGTGAGACGTACCAATGGGCAAGGTGCATCTAATCCAGGAGCACCCTGTTCTCCTTTCTCCCCTTTAGGCCCTTTTTTGCCTTTCTTTCCCTTTTCCCCCTGTGAATACAATGGTTTGGATAAAACAAGTTTCATTCTTTTAAAAAAATATAATAAAGAAAGATTGGGTTTAAAGTTTGGGTTTTTTCTTTTTAAGCCAATGGAGAGCTGAAAGGACACTTACCACTGTGTTCTGGTTTGGATGGTGCATTTTGTGGAAAAATAAATTATATGATCACAAGCAAGAACTGCAATCAGTCTCTATTAGTTTGTGTTGGTATTTCATATCAGTATTATGAATGTTTTGAAACCTAGAACAGGGCTTGAAATAACTGATTTCTTGAGACACAGGCAAATCTGCAAATCCCTCCAATCTGTAGTCCGAAATAAGAGGTCTCCTATTTTGGTAAGTGATAGCACTGAAGGGTACATGCTCACTAAGCTGAACTTGTCAGCTTCCCAGAGGATTTGCCACTAGTCAGAAGTAACTTTGGGAGAGCAGAATCCATCAGCAGAGTCTTTTGATAAAAGACCTGTGGCACAGATGCTTCACAGGGATGACTGACAATTCCATCAGCTTCCAGGGTGTCACATCAAGGTTGAACCTGGCCAGGAGCATCCTTTACTAACTGACCCTCTGCACTCTGGTAAGAGTTTGGAACAAACGCTGTTCTCTGTGGTGTCCACAGAAACCCATGGACATCACTGAGGGTGCACTGCTGTCATTCCAAATACGACACAACCATTTCAAACCCTGTTACAGGAATCAAAACACTCAAACTGCTTGATGGAGAGGTGCTATGACACTTTCAACAATTTCATATTGTCTTGGTATCATAAAGTAACCAGAAGTGATAATCAGATTATTTTTTAAGCATTTCAACATTTAAGTATTCTCTCTGCTTCAGGCAATGTTTCATCTATTTGTTTGATCAAAATTCAGTCCTTTGATTTCACACTGAGTTTTCTTTTTAAAAGCGAAACTTCCAATGCTTCTCATGGAAATTTGTTGATTCCTCTCAACAAAGCTACCTGCAAAGATGACCTCACCTTCAAGCAGTGTAAGAGGTTTAGAAAGTTCATTTTATAATTGATTTCACACCAGCTGATCACAATGGTAAATGAGTTTCAGGTTGCTCTCAATTTCACAAAAATCAAAAAGGGATCACTTAAAAAAAAACCAAACAAATTGGACTAGGATTGTAAAAAATGGGATAGGAAAGATGAGTAAATTGGGATATCACAAAGAAATGGGAAAAATAGTCATAGGAAAATTAGTATAACATTGGAGAACCAGCAAGTGAGGTTGTGGCTATTGGGAGGATTTAATTTGTGAGGAAAAGGGTAAAAAAGACAGAGGAATTGTAAGGAATGAGGGTAGAAGGAGAAGGAAGGAATGCCCCTTTGGAAAGACAGACAGCTTTTGGTGAAGCATATTAAATAGACATTTAACTTGTTCCACACCAGTAGAGAAAGTCTTAATCCATTAACAACATAGAAAAATAATTTTATACTTTAAAAAATTTTATATAAATAATATTTTAAAAAGGAAGGAAAGCGCATTCGTCATTTCATATAACATCATACTTGACACATTCAAATAAAACAAAATGTTCCATGAACAAAACATACTGCATCCATGTCATGATAGAAGCAAAGCTACTTGTCTATCTTTTCTGTGTGCCAAAAGGTCACAGGATAATATTTGGAAAAACAGCAACTCAAACATTACCAGATGATACCAATGATAAGATCCTTACCAAATGATAAGATTGTGATGTAAAAAAATCCTCACAAGAACCATAAATTTGCTACATTTCCATCTTAAACCTACAAAGATGACAATGTAGCAGAGTTCATTGCTCTACGCTATTTGTGCTCAATGTAAGACCAATATATTTGCAATGATTGTATGCAAGCACAAAGCATGGACATACTCCAAAAAGGATTCTGAAAATGAGCAGTACAGTGTGGTTTCCGACTATTTTAAAATTTTTTTCAGATTGTCTCTTTAACTTCTTGTTTTACAAGCCAGAAGGTAACTATTCTCAACTTCCAGTTTTGCAGGCATATTTATGATCTTACTCAAACCAATGCAGCAGACACCTGTGTAGAAAAAAGTCTGAGTTTCCTGGGTACTTTACTACTTTTTCCACAGACTGAGTTCTTTCTTTCTAATCTTTGATCTTTACTCCTTACCCTGAACTGTAGAAACTCACAGGAGTTCTGGGGATTCTACATGTCATGAGGATAAAAAAAAACTAACTCCTTTCTGTCCTTCCTCAGTGCCTAGAGAAATAAAAAACTGTAGCACTTCTGCAACACCACTATGGTTGGAACAATCTACAATCCTCACATGCACAGATTTCCATCAATGCAGAGTGTAGGGGAAAAGGATAATGCCTTTTCATCCTCTGCTCAGACACACCATACTGTTTTGTCAAATCCATAACAACAGTCACAACTGTGCATCTGGGATCAGGGCCACTTCCCTCCCTTCCCCACAACACAATCTCTAACTTTGGTTAAAGCTTATTTGTTTCTGAAAGATTTTTTTTTTTCTATTCATACAACTTGAAAATACAAACCTTTTTTGTGATGAGTGCTCCTGGACTTTTAATTTTATATGAGTAATTACAGCTGGAACACTTTAAAAAGTATTTTTACAGCCGTGTTAAGAAGACATAATGCAAATACTGACCTGCTTTCACTGTAGTAGAACTACAGATGGGCTAAAATACAGATCAGAAGTCTAGACCTCGTCTCAAATTTAAGAAGTAAAGATTTATTCCCTGCATGTCTATGAAAAAAGTGCCACTAGTTCTCTTTAGAATGTTCATAATGATATGTATTTTTGCAGTGCAATTTAAGTTTCTTAACTAGAAACTCACTAATCTCAGTTTGTGTGATGTCAGACCAATAGCCAATACTTTAGAAAAATATTTATTTAAATATTAATAAAAATCTAAATACCAAGAAATCATAAGCTAGATGGTCAAGTTGTTTATCTGTTATTACAAAAATGGCTTATCTGTTCAAATGGGTGCTGTTACACCAATTTGGTCATAGATAATTAGTAATTTACATAACGAAAACCTCCAGAACAAAGAAGACTTGTTGTAATGAGAACTTGGATGAATTGCATTACCTTGTATCCTTTGAGAGTCAGCTTTCTACTTGGAAAATAAACTATTGATGCAGCTAAAGTAATTTTGGTGAAATAAGTTTGCTTGAATGATATAAATATTCCCTAGTTTATGGGAAAAATATGCAATGGAAGTGTCTTCCACAGAGGTCTCCGCTGTATCTTCCCTGACTTTTCACTGGGAAAGGCCTTCCTTTGCCTCCTAGGTTTCCTTAAATACTCCGTGAATTTTTAAGGCAGAATTTTTTAAATGGAGATTGCCTCCATTTTAAGGTGAATTTTTAAAATGGAGATTGCCTCCATTTTAATGGAGGTAATCTCCATTTCTGCCCTACAGACTTCCTGTCAATCCTCTTTCTGAAAGTCCACATAACAGGATGTTTTTTGAAACATGTATCAGATTTGCTAACTACTTTATCCCATGCATTCTCCTCAGGAAACATGGTTTGCCTTTTCATGAATTTTTAGGGGGATGGAGGACCAGAGTTCCTAGGAGATGTGTCCTGCAGCCCAAAAGAAAAAGTCTCCACAGGCAGCCTAAATCACAACTGAACCCTGGAAAGGGTGTAGCCGTGCCACACACCATTCCCACATAAAATTCCCTCACTCCCTTGCAACTGGAAGTCCATGTTTTACTTATCTAGTCTGTCACTAGGAATCAAGTCTAATATCCAAAAGCAGCACACTGGACTCTGAAACATTAAAACATTTTTACATCCTGAGTGCTGATCTCATCTGTTTCATTTTCACATTTTATTTGTATAAGCAAACTTTTTACCAGCTTTCCATCTTTTCTTCCAGAAATCTTCTGGAGCTCTGGTGGCTGAAATTTGTCTGCCTATCTGCTCTAGCTGTACATGGAAACACAGACTCAAAGTCTGGCTGAAAGGGAGTTCTGGAGGTTGCCTAAGATTCCCATTGTGATCAGGATGATTCCTGACCCTAGGTCAGGTCAGATCAGACCAGGTTCTGTAGTGCTCCTCGGGCAGTGGTTCAGACCCCTCTCTGTCCCAGTGCTGTGCTGTCCTCCTTGTGAACAATTGCTCTGAACCTCTCAGGAGCACCTTATGGCCCTGTGTTTCCCCATTTGCCATCATCCAGAAGAGTTTTGCTCTATCCTCTTTTAATCTCCCCTTTTGAGTAGTTTGGCCATCCCATTGTCAGACTAAGCCAGTCCACCTCTTCCACCCTCTGCTACTGGTTGTGTTTGCCCCAGACCCCTGCCAGCTTGGTAACCTTCTTACTCTCCAACTTCTTCTTGAAGTGTGAGGCTCAAAAGATCATCTGCAGTATTCAAGCAACCTCACTGGAACTGATTAGAGAGGCATAATTACTTATTTTTATCTTCTGGACACAACTCTTTGAACATACCCCACGGTGAGAAGACACTGTTAAGCTCACTCCGTTTGGCACTTGCTGTAACTCCCACTTAGCATGAAGAGCATTTTGACCATCACCTCTCTGAGCTGGCAGTTACCAGTTACACCGTCTGACTGACAGCTGCCCTCAAGGAGAAAATCTGTTCACTGGTGGCAGACAGACCTGTACTCTGTGAGCAAGCAAGGGCTCACCATCCATTACTCTGCCAGGTCAAACACTGCCTTTATAATATTCATGGAGCACCTGCTTAAAAAACGGTTGTTCTGCAAAATCAGTACCTTACCAGTGATCTCTGAGCTCAAAAGGAAGAGCAATATACCAAGGGAAAAAAGGGAAGGATGAATGTCATTATACCCTTTTCAATGCATTCTTGGGAAGTGTTTAGCCTAACCAGATTAAGAAATGGAGATGAACTCTAACACTCATGGTGACTTCTTAGCCCTGCTTCTCGTTTAGGACACCATAATGAGAAATTAATCCAGCCTAACCCTGCACATGTCAGCTTGACAAAAACATTGGTCTGAGCTAGAAAAATCATCTGCTGCATGTATGGACTTTTACATCAAGTGGCTTGGTGTGAGTTCTAATTCAGCAATTTTAGCAGCTGGGTTTGTGTTGGGTAGAAATGGAAGAGATTTGCTCACGAAGTTTCTCTACACACATGAAGTCCTGCATTGCTTTTTACTAAACAGATTTCCAAGTCACTCTGTCTGGACACTGAAAATGAAGTCAGGCTGTTTCTGTTAACTTCACTGTCCAGTTGCTTTACCAGAATGGTAGAATATATGATACAATTTAAATTCACAAGTATCATAGAGTCCTTAATTGCAAATAAAACATTACCAAAAATAAAAATTCAAACAGTTCTTGTCCTAGACACTTGGTGGGACAGGTAGCATGTACAGGCATGCCACACCAGGATCAACCGTTAGTGTGCAAATACTGCCGAGGAACAGATCTGGGCTCTTCAGTATAAAATCACTACCACAACAACTAATTAAATATTAAATATTTAAATATTTCATTAAATATTGTATTAAATATTTCAGGACTTTCAACAAGTGCAGGATGGATTAGAGAAAACAAGCCTAGAAAAAAGGCTGTGCTTTGGGACATGTTGATATTTCTAGTCCTGTACATACATTTTTGTGGTTTTTCATGATTTTGCTCTAGCCTGTATCTGTGACTTGCCTTTTGGCACACAGTAAAAACAAAGGTAAGTTTTAATGGAACCATTTATAGCGTAAAGACAGCAGAAGTGATTAGCTGAGGAATCAAGCAACAGTTATGAACACTGTGGTCACCTTTTCTCCCTTTTCTCCTATATCACCCTTTTCTCCTCGAGGACCAGGGAAACCCTATAAAAACAAAGCGGACAAAGATAGGTTGACTTTTATTAACATGCAGATTAAGTTCTCAAATACTCCTGGAAAACCTAAAAAGGTGATTTCACTACATGCTCTGTACACATATTATGTCTGGACACATGCACAGACACAAGAGCATGTGAGATGAGTAAACGACAGAGTTTGGTAGAGACATTTTGGCAGCTACAGAAAGAAATCATACCACTCAAACTAGCAATAATCCATGCTACATAGCATATGTGCATTCTTTAAAAGACTCCTCCAAGTTAGGGATTTCAGTGCAGGACTTCAGAAAAGGACCTTCAGTAAGTCTTTTTAGCATGCCAAGGAAAGAGCCTGTGTTTTGAAACATATCCGTTACAGGCTATGAAATTATGCTCTTTAATTAAAATAAATTTAGTTAACTAAGTGCTAAGTGACCCCTTGTTCTTCTACAAATGAGTCATCTGAATATTTTCTTAGCAAGCATTTTTTCAGCCTACTGACATCGAAAGGACCAAGTACTTGTATTGCTAAGCACTACTATCTGCTGGTGTCTGTCGATAAGGGCTGTACATTGCACAATCTTTGTCCTCTCTACCACAGAGAAAGAGCAAACACAGCACCCAGAACAATCTCTGCAGGTCCTGCATGCATGCTAAAGGGCAGCAGAGGTGCTGTGCTCCACTAGGGACACTTGGCAGACTCTTACCGACCCCTGAGGGTGCCCTGGTCACACACATTACTTACATCGAGGCCAGGCTCGCCGTCTTTGCCCTGTCAAAGAACCACAGGAACTGCATTAGCTTCCCTCAGACAAGGACACTGCTGCCCATGCTTAACATTTCCAGGAACTGATAACCTGGCTGCAAAATTTTGCTTGACTGTAAAATTTTGTTTGCAGGCAGATTCCAGGAGCAAGCTAAAAACACAAAAACAGCTAAAAACCTACAAAATTTTATTTTTAGTTTTCAGGAATGGGAAACAGAAATAGGATTTAAAAAAAATTAACTCACAAAGGTGACCCTCACATAAAAATGCGTGGCAAGCTAATTTAACACTCCATGGAGCCTGAAAACTGTCTCCAGCCACTGACTCCTGATCCAATTAAATGGATCCAATTAAACCCATAGGTCTGGTATTCCAGCTTAAATTAATCAAATGGATTAGACTGGAAAGGGTATGGAAACACTAGAAGTCTCCTGGAAAGGCTGGTTGTGCCTGGCCAAGCACATTTACATGACTTTCCTTGCGTCAAAGTACAGAACAGACTTGTGTATATGTACACACCTGATCCAGACATTAGCAGTGTAAACAGGGAAAGTCAACTGATTTTATTGGGGATATCACTGTCAGGCCAAAGGAAGCTCTCCCTCATATTTTAGACATGGATAATATAATTAAAATTATTGATTCAAAACAAATCATTTCACCCATGAGTGAGCAACAATGAAATTCTCACGTAACTTCTGAGTAGATGGCAGAGAAATGAAAACAAAATGGGTCTCTGAAGCAACAAACAAAACAAAAACATAATGGCAAAGAAACCTTGCAGTATGGAAATCCAAGCAGCAACTGACATTAAGAAATTCACAGCTTTCCACAGTTCCTCCTGAACTCCTGGCACTCTCACATCGTCCCCAGGCAGCTGATGGCCAAAGGCTGCTGAACTAGGAGCACCTGCATTCTGCATCTCCTCTCTCTTGCTGGTTCACCTCAGGTCTGTTTTTTTATGTGCATGGGTAGAAACCCAAGAGTGTGATACAGAACACTGACCTTGCACTGTCAGGGCTTATTATCAATCTCTGCCTTTTCCAACTAATTCTACTGCTAGGTGAAAATCAGCCATAAAGCACACAAAGTTTAATCAGGGAGGGATGAAAAGTGCAGTGTGTACAAGCTCTGTGCAACTTACAGGCAAGCCGTATGGTCCTCTGGGTCCAGGGTCACCTACAGTTCCCTTCTCACCCTAAGAAAAGATTACAGAACAAGCAAACAAAAACATTGGCTATCTTAGAAATTATCTCTACCAAGTGCTTTAGGTTAAAGTTTATGCATTCCTAAGTATTTTGAGTGAAAAATATCCAAGCTCATTTGTTTTTATTAAATGTTTAAAGGAGAAAGAGAAGGTGTGTATTACCATTCTTCCTAGGAAGAATGACTTTTTAGGCATATGATATCACATTCATTTCTAAATATGTTAGTAACTGAAAATATGTTTCAGCTGAACACGCACTAGTGTCAACTTTAAGCTTATGACAGCTTAATGTTGCTCTCAGTAAAAATACAAAGTTGTAATGAAAACTGAGGATATACAGCATCAAGCTGTATATACACACAGCAGCTGAGATACAACACAGTGACAGGCAAAAATAATGTGTCAGTCAAAGCTTGATTTAAGTAGGCAATGCTATTAACAGTGACAACATTGTGAAGATTATCCTATGCACAGTGAAGTGTTGCTAAATCCTATATTGGATTCTAGATAAGTGATGTAAATACTCTGGTTTATTAAAATCTAAACAACTGTAATAATATGCAAGACAAACAAGTACAGAGATTACTCCAGAAGTCTGATCTTATTCTGCACTGAAATCCATGGAAAAATTACCAGTTTCCAGAGGGGTGCTGCCAAAGTCATTTTGCAAGCTTAATACAGGGTAAACTTTTCCAAATGGAATGGAATTTCAAGGCAATGAATTTCAGGCTGACAGTAATAATAACCTTTGCTCTCTAATTTTTCTTTATCAAGATTGATATGAAGTTAAGCTTCCCAAGCCAGCCAGGACTAGCCCATGTAACTGCAAGCACAGGTCCCTGTGAGCTTGGTAGGGAGTCAGGGCTGCAAAGAAGGTGTGGAAAGCAGTCTTGTTTCAGACTGTTCTTTCTTCTGAATTAAATCCTTCAGAGAAACATTTCTCTCTGGAGAGAACTAAATGGCTGGAAGTGTTGATGAAATGAAAGAAAAAAATCCTGACCACCTCTAGTTTTCAAAGCTCCTCCTCTGGATTTGTCATCCAGGGTGACTTCGATCCCTTCATCACTCCCTTTGCTGAACTCACCCTAACACAGGGCTTCCTGCAGGGCTCTTGGTGTGCACAGGTGCTGTGTTTCATCCTAGCATGTGCTGCACTTATGCATGTGAGAGAATTCTCAGTACAGCACCCTCTGGGATATTGACTATTTTCTATTAATTCATTAATGACTCTATCATTAAAAGCACAAGACAGAGATGTAGATGTGTACCTAATTAATAGCGGTGATCACTGGCACTGCCAGGTACTGGCACGGCTCTGAAAATGGACTGCTATGTCTAAATTTCATTGACTGAATTATACAAAAAGGCAGGCACCAGAAACAATGGGACCTTAACCTGTGGTTGAATAATCCCAGCAATAAGGGGTTTTTCGGAGTAACTGACATTTGATCTGTTTTAAATACTTTATATTTTTACTTAGATGGGAACTTGCTTTAGTCTAGAGGTAATGAGATGCGCAGTGTCAGGTCTTTCTGGATTCCGCTACTCCTCTGATAATTTCTGAGCACCTTTTAGGCTGGACGCCCTGGCAGGACAATAGGAGGTATTGGAAAGTAACAGCTGATTTTCAAAACAATAAATCCCTTGCAACTACAAAGCTTTCTGCTAAAAAGAAACTAATGTGCTGACCTATGTAGGTAAGAGCTACAAAACTCTCTGATCAGTACTTGAAAGATATCAAGACTAGTTAAGCATATATTTTTTTCTTTAATCTTCAACAGCAAGATGACTGTATAAAGTCCTCTCAAGATAGGCTTGTAACATTGCTAAACATATGGCAGATATAAAAATACTGAATGTATCAGTCTAGGAAACAATCACGTCTGTTATGTATGAGTATGTTTGGAGAACTGTCTCAGAATTTTTTGCGTCCCATACAAAGCACATGCTGAAACATGTTTGGAGAATCAGATGAGGTCCTGAATGTTCATGGATTATATGAGATTAATGGACTGTCATGAGCTACTGCCCACAACCACCACAATTTCCTTCAGGGTAGCAGATACTGGCAAACCTCAAGATTTTGTTTTAAATTTTTTTGTGAGACAATCCATCAGTGTCCAAAGAATAGAAACCATAATTTTTGGTTTTGCCTCCTATTTCACTTCAGTCTCCTGAATCATGGACAAACATGAGTTACAATTTGAATGAATAAAGCTGAACAATCCTTGTGTCCATTAGGATAGATAGGGAGATTTCATAACATTGTAATGGCGAGAAATATTTTAACCAAATTAAAGAGAATGCTAGTAGTTGGCTACTAGTACTAACTGTGTGTAATGATGACAGTGCTGCATAGGCTACACATCTGAAAGCTAAAATCAAGCTCAAAACCAGGCCTTTGTCATCAATGAAAAAGAAAAAAAAAAAAAAAAAGTTTATTTCCAGCTCTCAGGCTCCTTTAGCTGGTCAAGAAGCTGGATATACATTATGCCTGTCATCACCCTTCAGGCATACATGTCCCCGTTCATCAATAGTAGCTGAAGATGTCTGTTTTCCAGTGCTCTCTACTTTCACTCAAGACAGCATGTAAGTGAAAACAATAGGTACATAGATTCAGAGGTCTATTATGACCTACTCCTCCATTTAATAAAGATGGTCTCAGTAAAATCTCTTTAAGCACCTGGCAAAATGTAATTCCAAGAGCTGAAAATTAGTAAGAACTAATAGACACTATCCTCATAAATTATATTAATTCACATTATTAATTACACTTTCGGTTTCTACCGAAAAATCACATAAAACCAGATTATAGTGTCATGATTTTCTTATCCTACCTTGTAACCATCTAAATAGACTTTGTATAAAGATGATCTGACATTTTCTATTTTAATAGTTAATTGAAAATCAACAACCCACCCTAATTTGCACAACAGTCTGTTCTACCTCAGAGCATCACCTTGAATGCAGCCGTGCAACAATGAATTCATGATTATTCTGTTAAACAGCCCTAATGCCCTCCTGGATTTATACTGACCCAAGGGTTTTCTTATCAATACAGACAAAATGGGACCCTCTCCAGTGACAGTGAACACTGGCCCTATGCACTGTTTTAAATTAAAAAGTAAAGCCTGAAATCTGCAGACAAAAATGTTTCCCTCCTGCTTTCACCTACACAAGTTCAACAGTTGTGAATGCAAGTTGTAACACAGCATTAAAAATACATTATTTGTTATTTAAATAATGAGACATATATCAACACTGTGCACCTGTTACATAACTGTGTTACAAACAACTTCTCCTCCCAAATGATATTGAATAATTAAATGAACAATTACAGCAACAATCCTGCTGGATGCCTGCTTGGGAAAAAACCTTCCATCTGTCTTGTGAACTTCCTCCCATTAATTTAGCTCCACAGAAAATGGTGGGTGTATAGGAATTTTCTGCACACCTTGGTCTCTCTATTTTTGTGAAGTTCTCCTTTTGTGCTCATGCAATTACTGATTTACATCACAGCAATTCCATCCCCTTTGTAGCTACAGCTTTTCAACAGCTACAGTAGGCTTATTCCAGATCCAGCTGTATGACTTCTTATGGCCTTGAATACCCTCACAAGAAAAAAACATTAGTAGCTGTCTTCCACAGACAAAAAGAATAGTTTATATTATATTCCATAGTCAAAGACAATGGAATTTCAACTGGTAGTACACATGCAAATCCTTCAATATAAAAGGTCATAATGCAAGAATAAAATGTACTGTATTTTTATATACTTCTACATGCGTATCTCATCTAAATTTTTTACTTAAGATTAGATGATGTTGACAGAAGATATATTTTGTCCTAACTGAAGAAAGAAAGAAGAATTGAAATCAGTAATTCCCTAGAAAAACAAAAAAAAATACTCAAGTCCTTCAGGCACTTAACTAGCCTGAGTGGTAACTTCAGTCTACTGTACAGTTTAATTTGGACTGTGCTGCATGTTTTGTATTTATCCCTCAATACACAGCTCTGTAAAAGTGAATCTTACCTTTCTCAGATGAAGCTAACTGGACCTCTGCCATGTGGCTGTGTCCTTTTTATAGCTAGTCTGAAGTTGTTTCAGCACAGCTGTTTTGTTAAAGGTGTTTGTTTTGTTGTTTTGTTTGAGGAAGTCAAAGAGACAAAGTTCTGGACTGGTAACTCCTCGGAGGTTTTAGGACATCATCTTCTGGGTTGTTGTAAAAGTTGATGGTTGTATTGTTAAAGGTGACAGGCTTTTAGTTAAAGATTTAGAGTTCCTATCCTATTTCCAATGGAGAAAATTTACTGTGAATATTTCAAAATTAAATAGCAGGTCTCCTATCTTCTAAACTTAAAAAAAAAAAAGTTTAAATTTTATGGAGGCTGGAGATATTTTTCCTGGATAAAAACATTTACGTGAATAGAGGACAGAAACACTCCTTTCTTTTTGCTATTGCCATTCTTATATAATCAGATCACACTATCTTCTTTTGTACCAGCTTGTTCTCAATTTGCACAACATAATGAAACCAGTGAAAACTCATGTTCTGTTTGTGGCACGGTGAACTAGAAAGTCCAGTCAATTTCTTACTGATTAGTCATTTCAAAATACCAGCTCCCCTGAAGTTAATGAGTTACAATGTCAACCTCAAACAGATAAATGTGTGTGTAGCTGGAACGCATACACAGTTCTGGGCTGCTCCTCTACAGGTGTGGTACTGCTCTGTTCTGTAACATCTAGGCACAACATGAGTCCCCATGTGACATTTTTCCACTGTGGCAGTCACTTTGCAGGGAGAAGCACATGGAACACATACTTACTCTCTCTCCTTTGGGACCTGCAGGGCCATGGGGACCAACTGGGCCATCTATGCCCTACAAAAAGGAACAAAGAGGGTAAGAGAGAAGGCTTGTTCTTACAACTCTTTAGTTTTAATTGCTGTCTTGTACACAAGAACTAACATGGAATCAGTCTTCACTTGTTGAAAATTGGGATTTAATTTTGTTGCAACCTATTTGGCTTTCAAAACTCCACCTGCAACTTCTCCTGTTACAAGGCAGAGCATTCTATTGGCATCACTACATCCATGGAAGCAATCAGATTTACAACAATCTTAAACTGACTGTAAGAAGATGGAAGGGTCAAAAAAAGGTTTTTAATTATTGTTTTATTTTTAAAATTGATTATTCTTTAAATTGAAATGTCTACCTGTAAGATGGACTTAGCTATTCCAGGGATCAATAAGAATCTTACTTGCAAGATATAACTCTTTCACTGCATAGATTTCTTTATCATTCAAGAAAGCAAAAGATTTAACATCTCTGATGTGTAATATAGCAACATGTGTAGATGAAGCCCAGCACATCTGCATCTCCTTCACTGATTCCATATTAGCACTGAACAGCTATGTTCTCCTGTAAGCTAAATCCCTAACCTTACTCAGGAAAACTAGCAACCCAACCAAGGCAGTTGTCCAACCAAAAATCAAAACTAAGCCGCCTTTTCAAGGTTCAGAGCTCCTTCTACAGAGAATTACATTCTCTTTCCCACACATACTGCCCTAAGAACCTGCTTGGAGCCCCCTCCTCTGCAGCATGGAGAATGCCTGCAGCATTTGGCCTTCCTTCCTGTGTGCAGTGAGGAGCTTGGCTGGCAGAGCCCTGGGAAGCACAGGGACTCGGTCACGAAGGGGGACACAGAAAGACAAGGGACTCACCCGGGCTCCTGGCTTTCCGTCTAAGCCAGATGCTCCCTGTGTGGTTAGGTGGAAGCATGGATGATGGGCACGACACGAATGACAAGAACGTGAGATTAGTAAGTGGTGCTGATGAATAAACACAATTCAAACGTACAGTACACGCTGTGACAGGGTTCTGGAGTGGGTATCACATTACTACAGCATGTTAGTTAAAAATTCACATGAAACACCAAGAGCCTGATTCTGTTCTCGCTTCAGTGTAACATCACCCCGGCCCTCACATCAAGTATATTAGAGCAGAATATTGCCAGGCTATAGGAGCGCTACAAACACCAGATGTTAGGGTGTTTTTGAGCCTGAACACACAAATATTTACTTTGTCATTTACTTGCATGCTTTCTGATTTGTAAATAGCAACAATACTGAATAGTATACACAAAGGAAGAAAAATGTGTGTTAACTGCGATAGGAAATATTTAAGTGCAAGAATACTGCATTATGCGGCCAACAAAATCTGGATCCTGACCACAATGGGCTCATTCATTTCCAAGAGCCCGGGAGACAATCACATTTCCTGTTTTCCCGCTATACTCCCAGGCACGGGCTGCGGTTCGGTGAGCCTGAGCATCCTTGGGGCCGGGGGGACCCCTCGTGGATTCTGTGTGAATCACAGAGCGGCGCCGGGGGACGCGGGGGACACCACCACTCGGGACACCGGGAATAACATGGGCACCTCCCTCCTAAAAAAGGGAACCCAGACCAACCCAACTAAAATATCCAGCCAACTCAATAAAACGAGCCGGTTTTTGGAACGTCAAGCGCTTGGACTTTGCTCCTGAAAATGACATTTAGAAGTAGCAAGCAGGAGCAAAACAAGGTCTGTGTAAATTTGGAAAACATATCAGCATATTTTGTTCTGGAGTCTCTTCTACCTTGTAGCATCTGCTCAGGCCTCCAAAGCTCACTCTCTACAGAGCTGTAACTCTGTCAATGTGAAAATGAGTTTTATTTTTCTCAAAATAAGTCAAAATTCTCAGTGACGCTGACCTTGTCCACAGGCCCTGCACATAATTCTTGAAAATATTAATCAGAGAGGTTTGTGCCCCTTTGGGTCAGCTAAGTCTTTTTTCTCCATTTTACTGTTAACAATGTAATCACTGGGAGCAATCCTCATAAAATAAAAACAGCAAAGAGGAAAAATGAACTCTTTTTCTGAGAAAAAAAATAAAGCTGCCTTTTCACCATGCTTTCAAAACACATAAAGTATTTTCTGTTTTATCAACTTAACTTGTAAGACAAAATTCAGAATGGGAACACTCAGAATGGGAATTTTCTAAAGAACAAGGCAAAAATAAGAATTTGGGGGGGGGGGGGAACCCCAAAAAATGAAGGGGGAATCCCAAAAAATGCAACTAAATTTCTTAAATCAATTTTTAGCTTTCCTCAATTAGACCTCTAAATGTGAACTGCAGAAGTGCAATAAGAGGAAGAATAACTGAGGAGATGGGGGAAAGGGAAGACTACTTTTTTAATGGAAACACCATACAACACTTGAATAACAGCATGATTAATGCAGTGGGGGTGATGACATCCTTGTGACACTGAACACTCTCAAATGACACACAACAACAACAAAAAAACCCAACCCTGACAGCACTGGGTTTTACAAGGACATTACTTGGGATGATAGCACAGATTTGGGACAAAACAAAACAAGACTGATGCTCTGCTCCAACACGGTATATTCTGTGTACGCTATTGAGTAAATCAGAGTTGTTCATGAGGAGTAGAAAGAGATGCTTGTGATTTGCACTGAAATTGAATAGTTGGGGTTTTTTACTTACTGGAAGACCAAGGGGCCCTCTGTCACCCTTTTGACCTGGTTCACCCTTCAATCCTTTAAGACCATTTAACCCTGGTTCACCCTAAACGTAAAAGTATAAATGCCAAATTTTTGGTGCTATAATGGGTGTTTAAGCTGGGATAGAAGAAGTCAGTCTCAGAAGTAGCTGCAAATTCCAGTTTGAAACAAATTCAACCTTCTCAGCTTACTGGCAATTTACATACTGATTTAATAGTTGGCAAAAGTACTTGGGAGGTGTCTGCTCAAGATTTAAAATTTGTGTAGAAAAAACTACATGAAACTTAGGGGTAACAGATTTTTTTAATATTTCCTTAATAATTATCACTATAGTTAAAGGGTTTGAATTAAGCATGTGTTTCAGGGGGTTTTGGAAATTCTTCAAATCCCATAAACCACCCTAATTCAAACTGAAATAAAACGTTCATAAAAATAAGCCTCAAAACTGTAAGTTTCTAGAGTGGGATCTCCTGAAAAGTACATTTGGAAGGAACAAATACTTTTCCTTACAGTAAACTGGAATTTGCAGCAAAATCTTACATAAAGATATTTTAAACCTTTAAGCATACATAATAAACAGTAACAAGTTAAAAGAAACAGTATAGGTTACACAATGCCAAGCCATTTGGGAGGTCCACAGTTTCTGAGTTCATACAGAGAAATTTTAACAATGTAAGAAATGGCACTTGTTGTGATTTTTACATTATGCACAGGCTATTACACTAAACATAACTAAGATGACAATACTGGGCTGAGAGCTGCCAATAAATCATTCTCTCGTAATGAAAAACTGCATCAGCATGAGGGCTGCTCAGTCGAAGAGAGTATTGACCACACCTGCCTCTTTTGGGAAACAGAAATACATGGGTATTTCATCCAGGCTGCTCCCCATGGCCTCATTGCTAGACTTCCCTTTGATGTATTATGTTACCTTATATTATATTCATATTTAAAATAAAAATCTCAATAGAATTCAGTCTGCTCCTTTAAGTAACTCCAGACATCATCTGCCTGCTTTGCACCCCAAGTAGCCATTTCTTCATTCGTATTCTATTTGACTCGATGTGACTTTCAGAGCAGTAGCACTGGAAACGCTGAAGTTTTGGAAACAGACCTGAGAAATCCCACAAAAGCCTGAGTCTCAGGCCAAAAGCCTGAGGTAAAGCAGGGCTGGTGCTAAAATGGAACACACTTGATTTCAAAAAATGATTTATGACTTAGGTTTCTTAAGCCAAGGTAACACAGTCTCACAACGGGTCAAACCTGTGATTTTCTGTCTTGCAGTTTTAAAATCCCAAAATAAACCCCCAAAACTAAACAGAAACACCCTTTCCTCCTCTTCCTTACATTTGAGAAAGGTGTGACCAGTCATGCTAACTGGTCAGGTTAGCATGGCCAGTGATTTAAATGGTCATGCCTGACAAGACCACTGGCCTTAATGAATACAGTGTCATGCTGAATTTTAGCTTAGTGGTGACTACTGAATTAAAGCACAAATTAAATTATTCCAATTCTGCCAAAATTCACTTCCGCTCCCCTGAGCTGTTCTGATGGGCTAAGAGAGTCCCTAAAGAATAGCTATGCTGTGGAAAATGTTCAAATTGCATTGCAGACCTGTCTGATCATGAATCCAGTTTGGAAAACATGAAAATGCACACATCAGTTCATGATGGTGAACCAGCATAACATGTGAAGGAACTGGTCAGCAAAATACCTGTCACCTAACAAAGGCCATGGAGACTGGAAGAAGCAGGAGATACAACAGAGCATAAATGAAGCTGAGATGAAGCTGAGTTTATTTTACTTCATTTCCTGTGCCTGTAATATGCTTCTGTATTCCAAAGTAATTCCAAGTGCAATGGTAGCTTCCCATAAACAGGAAGCCAAATAATTTAGTGCCACATTCCTAATATTCATACAAAAAATGGACTCAGCTGATGCTGAGGAGAAGTACTACTCAGAAAAAATAGCAGAAAATTAAAAAAGCTTTTAAGCTGCTAATATTAAAATCTGCTTTAAGGTTTAAGAATATCAGAAACATTTATTAAATGAAATATGACAAAACACAGCTCCATGCATTCAAGAGCAAAGCATGACACTTTACAGGCATAAAGAGCTCGTCTATTCAAGACAGATATTAACTTACCTTTGGGCCAGGCAGTCCATGAGGTCCCTGAAAATAAAAGTAACATTTTTAATTATGAAAATACATCACAATTTTTAGGAGTTTTTGCTTTGTAGGGATACAAATTACCCCTGTATTTCTTTACCCTCAAAAGAAATGCAGCTGTCAATAAAGCAACAGTAAGCACCTGATTCTGAGGAGGAACCAGACCATTAGCATGTTAACAATAACAGGAATGTGCAATTTACTTCTCCGCCTCCTAAGAATTTTAAGACATGCAAAAAAGATTTCCAAATTAGGTCCCCTCTTCAGTGGCCACATATTCTGATAGCAATTTTAGTAAGCAGGCAATAAAGTGGCAGGAGGGCATAGACCATTTCTAGCCCCTCTGTTCCTCCCAAGCTTACCATGGGGCCTGGAGGACCATGTGGCCCTGGTGGTCCAGGTGGTCCTATCATCTACAGATAAAAAACAATGGTATTAAATCATGCAGAGCAAAGAACTCCCACAAAAATACCAGAAGTCAGGCTGACCCTTGTTGGCAAGCACTTACAAAAATAGCTATGCAACAGTGAAAACGCTGACAGCGCATCTAGACAGGGCTTTAGGAATGGGAATTATTTTGATTTGAAAGACAGGGTACCCAAAGTGCAGATCTGCCTGTGCCATATGGCACTGTGCCTGCCTCCAGATTCTTATTCCTAGGGTCTATGATACACTTCAAGACACTATGGGGGAAAAATAATAAATCCCCATAAAACAAACGGTACTGAGAAGGGATACTTGGACTTTTAATATTTTATGGTATGTGCTCTGTATTTTTCTCTTGTACTACTTAATCTACAGAGCTAGAAGGTGATGATGTGTTATTTTATTCCTCCTCAACAATGACGACTGGAAAAGATACTAAATTCAAGCTGGGCTTTGGCATAATTTCAAAACTGCCCTTTGTCTCTCCTTTTATTTCTTTTAGCCCACTTGTACCAAAAATTCTCTGAGGTCATTAAAATAGGTAATCGTGTTGCTTGGCATTCAGTGCACGCATATTCTGCACTGGTTTTCCATGTTCCTAGCAAATCCATGGAAAGAATTTCATGATGACATATCCAGCTTAATATCCCCTCTCTTCCTGGATTTAATCCCAATGGGTTGCTGTCATAACCTGCAGAGTGGCAGCAGGGATGCTAATTCAGGTCTCCAGACTCATGCACTGCTGCAGCAGCTGTCAGTAGCGGCAAGAGCAGCAACAAGAAGCCCTTTGAAACCTAAGAAAGATTCCACAACCTGTGAAATCTCCTGAAAACTGTAAGTCTTCCTTCAAGTGAAAGCAAGCAGAACAGGATGAATGAATTAGTGAATTAATTTTTAACAAACTAATCTCCTCACAGAAAGAAACTCAGAGATGAGGCGTGGCTTCTGTGGCCTCTTTGACTTTTCAGAGCTATGGCTTCCGTCACTAACTTCTGCTCTGAGGTCTCTCACCTTACTGTGCTCTGATAATGAAAGTCACCCACACCATGAAGGTACTATGTAGCAATTTGTTTGGGCTTTTTGGGTTTGTTGGTTCGGTTTTTTAATGCTGCTTTAAAAAAAAAAATCAGGAGAATGTCTGGTCTCACACAACTAGCTCACTACCCTGGGTCACACATCTGAAGTCAGCCTAGTCTGGTTCTCACTGGACTATCTGAGATTCCCAGAGTATAAGGTGTTGAGAGAGAGATTATGGTTTGTTTGGGTTTTTTCCTTTCTTCCCCATTTATCTTTTGATTCATTACAGAGCCAGGAGGCTTTGACTGAAGTGAGCAGGACTTTTTCATAGTCACAGAATAGAGCAGAACAGGAATTACATATTTAAAATTTCTTAAACTGCATTTAGCTCTATTACAGAAGTCTGTTTATTCTCAGGAAAGATCAGTCATGAATATCAAGTATTGCTCAGAATCAGAAGCTGGAGAACCACTGCTGGACTCCTGTGTTCATTGCAACGCCACACTAAGACTTACTGAAGGACCTTGGGCACCAGGCAAACCAACGTCTCCTTTTTCGCCTTTCATGCCATTGGCTCCCTAAAAATCATTACAAAACAGCATTTATAAACAGCTTTAATCTTACTAACAGACAATCTAGATGTTATAATATTTATTGGCAAGTAATTATCATCTAAAAAAAGAATAACACAGCACACATATAAAGGAAATACTTTAAAAAATTCTGGCAGTACTTTAAAAATAATTTTTAACTAATATAAACATATGCTTTTATATTGATAGCTATCAATTGTGGCATGATATTTATGACAATTCCTTAAACTGGCACTCCATTCATGATATTGTACTATGGATACAATTTTGAAATTGTTTCTATTTTTGCTGAGAAATTTAATGTGTTGTATATATACCTATACATACATATATATACACACAAAAAATAGAAGAATGCATCCCACAAATATTCATGCATTTTTTCCTCCCTCCTCAATCTATGTCACCTGAAATTTCCATCCAAAACATAGCTCCTTTCTCCTTGCCCAAGCTGTCCTATATATTACAAGAGAGGTACAACTTAGGTCAGCCTGCCAACTAAGCTCTTTCTTCCTGACACAGTATTTTTTTTTCACTGTATGTGGATTCAAAAGACCTGCCAATCTTACGCCTCCTCCTAGATTTGCTGTGAACCAATCTCAGAGTTTTCTCCCCAGTGCTTTCTGTCCCATTTGCAATTTATCAGCAAATTGGCAATTCCTGATAATGGAAGAGAGAAAAAAATAAAAGATTTTTTGCTAAAATTATTTAATTAACTTTTCATACTCACTGGTAGGCCAGGCAGACCGATTCCTCCCTTTTCTCCAGGCATTCCAGGATCACCTGTGTCTCCCTTTGAGCCCTTAGGACCCTAAAATATGGACTTATTCAGGAAGTCATGTAGAAAACTAGAGACATCAATAGAATTGTAGCTTTGATCCTAACAAGCAGAAGTGATGTGCATTTTATATCTTTGCTAGTAAAATGCATAAATGTATACACTACTAGATCACCAAGTATGCAGCGGCACTATAATGATACAATATTTATTAATTATTATAAACATAATACTTAGATTATGAAAACTAAGTTGCAATTTGGAACCATGGAAATAATCTCTTAAAACAACCTACAGTTTCCCACAAGTTCTTCACTATATGATTTAAACAAAATGTACCTGCTCTCCATCAACTCCTGGAGCTCCTGGGGATCCTGGTTCACCCTGCAAGAGATGAGACAGAACTGGATTATCCCAACTGCCTCAGATACTAGAGGAAAGAGCCAGAGAAATTCCCATAATTAACAACAACAAAGCCAGAGAATATTCTGTCAAAAGTATATATTTATTATCTATTTTAAATAAACAGCCCACCTGATTATGACATTACAAAAACTTTGGGTTGTATGAAGGCGAGACAAGTGCATAAAAAAAAGGAAAAAGAAGACAAAATCCAAGGGGTGAAAGGACCCCATTCCAATGGAAACACTGCCTCCAACCAGAATAAATACAGAATCATGCCTCCTGATTTATGTAAGGTAGAGAGAGAGACTTCATGGTTTTTTTCCCTATTATAAATCACCCAGTGAAGGAGTTCACATTGACCACATTGTCTTATGACCAGTTCCTGGGTACCATTCTCCAAGGGAACAAGTTATGGTGAGGGACGGAGTTGATGACATTAGAAACAAACTCCTGTGATGCTGAATTCTGCTTTACATTGTAAATTTTGAATGAGAATGCTCACCTATATAAAAGAACACAACCTCTTCCACACTCCAACCTCTCTGTTTTACTACATACTCCGTGTTGCAGAATTGCTGAATAGATGATAATGCAAAAAGCAATTTCTGCACACTTAACCATATACTCTATTATCAATTTTTCCATTGAATGAACCTTGTTCCTCACAATTTCTCAAAACAATGTGCATGTGTACTGTGATGTATTTCCATATAAAATACTGGATAAAATCTAAACTTGAAATGTCTAGTATTGTTATTGAAGATGCATATATTTGCTCTTGGAATACCATAGAGACACTGGGAGAAGATGCAGTATCTAGTATTTAAGAAATAGGAGAAACATCTCAACTAGTTTAAAAGCATTTAGGGAGAGTCCACTAACTTCAACACTTCTTTTTTGAGTTTAGGCAAATTTATTATTTAAATTTTATAGAACAGTGCAGCATATGGTACTCATTGTCTCTGTGTGGGCTGCTCACTAACCCTTCTGTACTACTTATAAGCACCAGCCAGGTGGTATTGGCAGGCTTGGCTTTCCAGCCAGGCTCCTGCCCACATGTGTGCACTGTAATTTTTACTGACATTAGACAATACTGCACTTATTTGGGTGGGTGCCCCCGTGATGGAAAAGCTGCATTCCATGGTGGCCAGTAGTCTTGCAAACAGTTTTGCCCGCCTCACTCCCACTCAGCCAAAAGTGAGGCATGGGAGCCTCTGTCTGGTTCTGTGGCTGTTTTGCAAAGTCCTTGGGACAAACCTGAGTGCCAATCCCTGAGTGAGATGCTCCCGCACTCTTTCAGTACTAATTAATTGTGCTGGTCCTTAGTTAAGCATCTGTGTGTGGCAACTAAACAAGGCACCTATTCTGGAAAGCTACATCTCAAGAATCTGGGATATAAAGTTGGAAACATGCCATATTTGTTAGATTTACAGATAAACAACTGTGCTGGAAAGCTCCATCTACCTGTACATGTACATCATTAAAAAAAACTCAGAAAATACTCCACCCTTAAGATACAATGAGTAAAGTAAGGAAGATCACCTTTGATCCTTGCAGCCCTTGGGGTCCCGGTGGTCCTGGTGGTCCCTAAACAGAAACACACAAACCTTTCAGCTTTTAAATAAACTCCTGAAGAACTTGTCATGTAAGCACAGGGTGAATGTTAAAACAGCTACTGTAACAAAATGGGTTAGATTTTTCACACAAGGGGAACCAAGACTAGTTATGGACAAGTTTTTAACGTATGACAGCTCTCAACAACCACAACACTACAACAAAAAACAGTGTTAAAGTAACAGTAAAACTCATATTTTATAATAAAATCCTCTGCTACTGTTGATGAAATGGCACTGCTTCCCTAATGGAAGGGAGACCAAAACCCAGTCATATCTGCCAGCCCTCACTGCCTGATCCAAAACAATCTGAGACCGAGAGAAATCTCCAACCAGTTGCAAAGAGGATTCTGCTGAAAGATGCTAAGTGCATCTGGGGAAACTCAGTGCTTTGTGAAATTGCCATGGAATAAACTGTAACAATTTCTTTCATTTCTACCTCAGGCTGTGGACACAGTGTCATGTATCAAACACTGGTCTGGATGGGGCATAGTGGGGTTGTTTTAAAAAAACCTCACAACACCTAAAAATCCCCTGCACTAATACAAAGAAAGGGTGTGGCCAGATGGGAAAATACACCTAACAGCAATCTTGCGGAGAAGAATTCAAAGCAAAAAAGAATGTGCTTTCCCAGTCTCATACTTAAATGAAGTTCTGCCATTGATTCAGAAGCAGCAGAATTTGTTCCATTGCTGGCTTTCAACAATGGGTCCTCTTCTATGGGAACACCATGCAAAGAAGTCAGTACATGCTATGATGAACCAGGCTGACATCCAATGAAGACATGTCCTGAGCTATGAGCATGCTGCAGCACAAAGAAGTTCTACAGTGCACAGTAAGTCATGCAACAGAAATGAATTACCGTGACAGTCAGGGTGGCAATCCTCTGTTGGCAAAAGGTATTAACAAGAGTTGTCAGTAGCCGAATTAAACAATGATATAAATAATTCTGTTTGCTACAGTTATAATCTCCACAGAACCTATGCTGCATGTGGGAGACACCATGCCTTCAAAAACACGAATAAAACCCCTGTTATTTTTAACTCTTGGTGTTGTATTAGCTGCTTGGTTTCTGTGGGAATTAGATGAAGGCAGTACTTTTGTACAATGCAAGAGATCAAATAAACAATGGCTAAATAGCAAAATCTAAGCAGAATGCTTCAAAAACATAAGAAAACACAATGGGTTGGTGTCTGAAGTTGACCAAAAGTCTAGCCTTATGTTCTGCAATGCAGGATTTGCACCCACGTTTAAGTAATAAATACAACTCCTGGAGTGGAGCTGTAACATTAATTTTCATATAAAAATGCAGTTCTAAATCCAAAACTGCCAGTCTACAACCCAGCTGTGTATACTACAATTCTACTTTGAATTCTTGGAAAGACAAAGGATATTTTCATCATGGAAGGAGGCAAAATAGCTTGACCTGTCACAGGGTTTTTTTTTTGCCAAAGAATCTAAAAGCAAGTGGAAAAGTATTAAAATGTAATTTAAATGCTTGTCTATATTTTTAAACAGAGTAAAATCCTCATATATTGCAGTTCACACATATTGCTTTCCTTTTGCATGAGAAGAACTTACTGGACCACATGGAACAAGAAATATTTTGCTTTTTTAATTATTATCCAATGTGTAAATAAAAGTTTGCAGATCTGTTTTAAGCTGTAAAAGAATTTCCATGTCAGTGCAACAATACATACTGTTGGCAAAGATCTGGAACCTACTCAATACAAAGCACCTGAACAAAACCGTTTCCTAACACATGGATTTAATATACCCACATTGTTTGTATTTCAACGTACTAATGTAAATATATCCATAAAATACTGCAAACTTCAGGTATGAGCATATCTAGGTATGAAAACCTAAAATAACCATTGCCAAGAACTGTTTACATGTTCACAGTAATGGATCCCTTTACAGAGGTAGATATTTTAATAATAATGCTGTTGCTCCTACAAAGGTTAAACTTCTGAAACTACTGTTTTGTGCCCTGGGAAATTCTGCAGAGTAGGTGTGAAGAGCAATTTTGACAGAGAGATGAATTTTGTATTTGATCCTCCAAGTGAAAGCCACATACTCTCAGCAGGGGTCTTGCTCAAACCATGATGACAATTTTAAGATTACACATGAGACTGAATAGGAGGCACGAGGCAAAGTAACTAAATTGCTAGACTGCTTCATGATTTATTACTGAATTCTAGCATGAGACAAGCAGTCCATATCTTGCAAATTCTTGTCAACTTCTTAAATCTGCAGGCCAAATTCTGTGCAAGTTCACAGTTCAGTGCTGAGCACTGAAGTTCTCATGTGCTTTTGTGAGAGAACTGCAAATCTCAGAGCCCCTAAGAATTTGGCACCAGGAGACTTAGGAATGGGTGTTTGCCATCTGAAAGGACTGAGCTGGATTTGGCAAGGATATTTTTGACTGATCCTATATAATCTTACTTACACCCTCCTTGCACAGCCATTCCCATTAATATCAATTATTTGTTGCCCTGGATCAGAAGGTGATGACATTTGGAAGGATTTGCAGTGGGATAAAGGCTTTCTAGAATGTTTCAACCACTGCATAAGACTTTAGTCCATTTTTAAGGCTTCTTTATGTGCTGCAGCTTTTCTGAGGAAGCTTGAAACTAACACTGATGCCAGAGTTACAATACAAAGACAGAATACAGGAGATACAGGGGCTAAAGCCCCTGCTAAATCTCTGTCTGGTAATACACAACATGAATTTCAGGCTACTTTAGGCACGTAACTCGGGGAGGAATTTAGATGACTGAAAGTTGTGTGTCTGAAGTCCCTTACAAGCAGACCAAATGAGGCAAACATAATGCAAAGCCTCACAACATGTCTAAGCAGACCTCCCCACAGACACAATGAAAGAACGGACTCAGCCTTAGTGACATACAAGGCTTTTAGATTTTAGTAAAGGCAGAGAGATTTTTTTATTTTTTGAAAGTGTCTTGGAAACCAAATGACTGGTCAGACATTTACCCACTCCCACTGCATAAATGTAAGGAAAAAGTTCAGCAGCTTCAGTGAGAAAGTGATCAGATGCACAATGAGCCAAATCCAGTCTTCAGTTTCACATAAGCAAGCCATTCACTTTGGTGGAGTTATACTGCACAGAATTTGCATCTGAGTATGCTGCAATGTAAATCACCTTGACTGCAATGACATATGTCATCTTGGTCCTTTGCTTTTATGCAAACACTCATTCATTCTTTTTTGTAACCCTACTTTAATCCTCCACACTTTTCTGCACACCAGTCAAAATAGGTTTTCCAGAAATGAATAAGTGAGAAGACTGGTGCTTCGTCTACTTAATGTACTCAAGTTGCTGATTGAATCCACAGCTTGCTAATGGAACCATGTTACACGGTTTCCAAATCTCAAATATTCTGCTCTTTGCATTTTACAGGAAGAGGAGGAGGAAAACAAGAAGAAAAAAGAAATGCCAGTATTGTAATATATGAATTGAAAAGTACACACTTCTGTTGAACCTGTGTATGTGGTTTATTACATTAATTCAGCACTAAACACCACAGCCAACAATGAATTAGTTTCGTCCTGATTAGATGATGTCAGTACTCTTATGAAACTAATTCACTCAGCCAATTTGTATCAGGGAAACAGTTTTTCTAGCACAGAAAATCTGGTTTCCAAATATAGAAAGCAATACCTGATTAATAAGCTCAACAATTTTGCGCAAAAAGTGTTTTCAAGCTCTAGGCAAAAGAGAAATACAGCGCTGTCAAATTACTTTTTCCCAGACCAGACTAAGCCAATTCAGCCTTGTTAGGTTTGCGTACCTGCAGAGCTTCATGGATATTGCCATTGTAATCAATTATCTCTGTTGCACCTTGATCACCCTTCTGTCCAGGTGGTCCCTGTAATACATTTTCCATTAGAATTTTGAGACAACTGCTGAAGACTATTTTAGACTCTTAACTACTGACACAGGCTTTGACTTGATTGTGGGGTGTTAGACTCTAACTGTACTTGCAATATACTACTACAAAACACAAAATTTGAAGGAAAACATTTTTTTTACATGAAGATAAATAAGCAAGTCAGTACAAAGTGACTTGTGCTGTAGTGGGAAAGCAAATACATAAAACCTCTGAGGGAAGACATTTAAGGATGTTCCTACACTCTAGTTCTGTATTGGCAGTGAACAATGCCAGAACATCTGGCTTGTAACATCCTGCCCACAGTGTGGATTGGAGACTGCTTCAAATAGTGGCAAGTGGTGTTAGTCATATTAATGTCCAGTTAGCAACCGTGATCCAACAGAGTCACATGCCCCATGTCACCTGGAGCGTGAATTGTAGAATTACTGCTACAATTTCAGTTCATGAGGGTACAAAACAAAGAGCTGAGATGAGAAGTAGACTTACCCGTGGACCTGCAGATCCTGTGTCACCTCTCTCACCTGTATCACCCTATGTAAAAATGATACATGAAAAAAACAGATATGCCATTTGAAGATATATACATGGTTCTTCCCTTTTAAATATGTTTTCTTACATGAACTGGTTTACAGGGCCTCTCACCCTAAACACAATGTGAATCTTCTTTAATGAAAGGAAAAAGTCCTTCAAAATCTGTGTACTGGTAGAATCAAAAATGATGCATTTGGCTGTGTGTGAATATTAGAGTATTGTACCGGTTTGCAATAAAAAATTGCAAAGAACCGGAAGAATGGGCAGATTACCAATTAAGCAATTTGTGCAACATGCCCATTCTTAATGAGACTACTATCAAAAGCTTGAAGAGAATACTAGAGAAATGAAATTACTCAGTCTGAAACCAGCCAAAAACTTCTTCAAATGTGTGTTTCTATCCCAGCATCCACAATTCATTTCACAGTCACTTTCACAGCAAGGTCTTATACTTTAATTTTAATATTACTCAAAATTAATATGGGTAAGAACGGCAAATTTTTCTGCTGTTGACATCTAGAGAACTTTGGTAAAAGTCAGGAGAAGAATGATTAATTCACCACTGGTAACAGAACAGAAAACTTTCTGGTAATAGAAACAAGAAAACTTTCACAGAGCTAATGAAGGCATATGGAGAGCAGGCTGGTGGCAGGACAAAATCAGGGTTGTACCATCTGCCCTTCCCTTCAGTGCTGCTTTGGCAGAAGCTAGAACAGTTAAAAAATGAAGTTGGACTGTTCCAGGACGTTGGAACAGTTAAAAAATGAAGTTCTCCACCACTACATTGACTTGTGTGTGCCAGACTTTCATGACAGGTATGCAGGCAAAATGAAATTCATATATCCTTTTTTGATTAAAAGGGAATTAAAGGGGATATCTTTATAATTATGGTGCATGTGGGAGGTGTCCAGGTACTGTAGTCAAATGAGAGGCTGATTTACTTTTCTGCTCTTACCCTGATACTTTAATTCCCTCATCAGTTCCCTTGCCTTCCAACACTTCTTTCTGGTGGGAATGAATGAGGTTAAATGGCACTTGCTTAATCACATCTTTAAGCACTTAAGGCCACTCTTCAAGGACCTTACAAGTACTGCAAACAGTATCACACCAGCCTACATTGTCCTGTCACCCTTATTCTGACAGTAGACCTGTCAACAACCACCTACACAAGTACATTTTCATCCATCATACAACATGAAGGAATCCAGTGGGAACAGTATTTGCACAGCAGATAAAGTAATAGAAAAACATACATTTTATCTCTCCATATATGTGAACCAACTATATCTATAGAAAGAAATGGGTAGACAGACATAATCAAAGTCATCTTTTTAAAGCAGGTAAAACAGCAACACAATCAGAAACTCTCGCCTTTGTAGGAATTCTGACCATCATATCTCAGCCTGCAGTACTTGGAATACCTCTGATTCCTAGCTCACCAGAGTTTGGATCCATAAAATTATTGCAAACCCAGTAACAGCACAGTCAGGAATTGGGTCTGGGCATGTGGGAGGACTAACACACATCAGTTACACAGAGAGAAACCAAGTTGCATGAGGAAAACAGCAGGAGAGTGGAATGGATGTTATAACAGAAAAGGGATTAGAATCACTGTGTTCAAAACCCATGTGACTTGACTGAATTTTTTAGCTAAAACTGAAGGTCAGAAGGTTTCACTTACAAAGAACACTGCAGATTATTACAGGTTCTTTGAAAGAGAAATGTTACAAATAATTGATCCGAAAAATCATAATGTTAATTAGTCCCCTAAAGACAGTTTTTTTACTACTAACCTTTGACCCTTTGGGGCCTCTAGATCCAGGTTCACCTGTTTTCCCCTGTTTGAAGGAAGATAGGAGAAAAATGGTAGAGAAATGGGAGTGCAGAGAAAAAGAAATTAGTAATCACTAACTACAGTTTGGAACAGCAGAAACACTTTATATTGATATTACCAAGATAATGGATTTTTAATGCATTTATTTTATATAGCACCCAGATCAATATATTCTCTAACACTAGAGTGCAATGGTCACAGATTCCACCCTTCCAAAGGAAAAGTAGTATTGGCATTAGTAAAGATAGGCATCATTCCCACTGGTTTTCAGGAATGAGCTATGGCATTCCATTGCTCCTGAGAAATGATAGCCAATAGATAGAGAAGATAGTTCAATATTCTAACAGAAGGAGATTAAAATAAAGTGTTATCACAACTTCTTTTCCCAACAGTCCAGGTGAATACAAACTAACTGGACAAGGAGCACAAAATTAACCTTATTGTTTTCAAAACCCATCAGGAAAGAAAAACTTGACAGTATCAACACCAGGGGAAATATTAGGACAATGCTAAAAGTAGTTAGACTGATCTCTTTCTTAGAGAGTTAGAAAACAGCATGCAAAATGGATTTTCTCTGCATTCAATTGCTACAGTGGTCAAAGAGTTCAAACTTCAATGCTGAAAGTTAGGGACCTGGAGGTCAGCACTTCAGCTGGAATGAATTAGGCCAATTCCATGACAGTGTATGTAGGTAGTGTCTTTACTTTATAGACCAAATAAAAGTCCATTCAGACTGCAGTTTCACAGCTGTGAACACAAAACTGCCATTGTCTTCTGGACTGAAGTAGAGCACTTGACAGCATTTTCATTTAAAAGTTCACTCACCAAGTTTTGTTCTACTTTTCAGAAGGCAAAGATGTATTCATAGGTGTAAAACTAACAAAACATTTCCAATATAAAAACCAGACTGACCTTTGGTCCAGGGATTCCAGGTTCACCTCGCTCACCCTTCCCAACAGGGCCTGCCTCTCCTTTGTCACCCTATTGCAACAGACACACATATATCACAAAATACTGGGCAGCCTTTAGCACACCACCAACTCAGCAGGACCAAAGAAAACAAGCCAACAGCAGAAACAGTGGTTTAGTCTATCTGTATTTTCAGAATCTGCTGGGTAGTATCAAAGTTCTGCTTCCTGCACAAAGTTTCAAGTAATTTTCCTAAAAATCCCATGTTTATGAAAATATAGTTTCCTCAATCATGCCTATTTTGCCTCTTGAACAACTAAATCTGCAGATTCTAATGTGAAAAAAGATGAGTTATTAATTAAAGTTATGATGTAACATCTGCCTTCACATTTTTTGAGGGCACCTACATGATCATCTATATATCTATCTCATAGCACTGGTCCATGACTTCTCACATTTTCTCCAGTAGTAGCCTCAGTCTCTGCTACTTGCTGAGTAAAGTTGAATTTGACATCAGATCAAGGGGCTTCACACCACAGCATTGGCCCACTACCCTTACCTTTGTTCCTGGTAGCCCTGGCAACCCAGGTTCTCCTTGTGGACCAATGAAACCTGGTTCACCCTTTAAAAATACAATATGAGACGGTTACTTATTTAGCAGTACACGCTTATAATAAATGAGCTTAATTTGGGTGGTATATTCCCCTGTACAGCTTACAGCTCTCCAGCTATGATGCAACAGTTATACAGAAGTACTTTTTGTCATGGTTTACTTTCTTCAGCATAAATTCCTGTAGCAAGCCACCACGCAGCAGATGAGATGCAAATGAAGCAGAAGGTGTCAAACATGGGGTTTATGAGGTTAAGGACTGTTAATATGCAACCTGGTCTGTAACATAACACATCAAACTATTATCCAAGCAAGTCTGAAGGCAGGAGGAGAGATCTGAGTGTTCCTAAATTTAAAAAGGGACAGTTCATTTCAGTGATGTGTTTTGAGGTGTTTTCCTACTGCAGCATGTGAATAGATGGGCAGGAATGCTGTGTGACAAAGCGGTGACAAATGGAGATGACACTGTTGTGATGTGTTGCGTCTCCTTTCAAGTCAGAGACTTGCAGTACCATGGTACTTTCCCTCCTCATTCTGACAGTAAAATACTTCAGTTCTCTGTGCCCAGAAAATTTCTTGAGCTGTGAACAGCTGGGAATGAGCCACAGCTCTCCTCATTCCCTCTCTGTTCTGCTCCCTTCCTTCCCATTCAATTGTACAAAGAGGACAGATGAATAGCAAGAAACAAGCACAGTTGCAGCAGAAGCAGCACTGAGTAAGAGTAAGGCCGTATTTTATTACCTATCTCCATGCCTGAAGAGAGACAATGCAAGATTAATAAGCCATACGCTTTCCTTCACAAACTCCTCTGAAAAAGCCTTCCTGCTATTTAATCTTGCATTTTTTCCAGATATATTTGAACCAAGAAGATATACCCACAAGCTATTGTAAGTTTTAAAAACCAGTTATGTAACCCAATTAATATTTATTTAATTAGCCTTTTTGCAATATCCCTGAACTTAGTGACTAAAAATTACCCATCAAATGCCTCTTAAAATAGCTAAAAGACAGATAGATCATAATCCTGTAGTGACACCATTATTGACAATATACACAGACAGTGCATATGAGCAGCTGAATAATATTTCTCATCTCTTCCCCTCCTTAGAAATACAGGTATGCTGCACATGGAGAGCAAATTAGGAAGTATTCTTGCACATTCATCTGTGCTCTCATCAGCAATCCATCATTAACAATTCAAAGCCAAAGAAATCATCCCTGTGGTTATATCAAGGATGACAGCAAGCTCCCAGAGACCCCCATTTAGCTTATAAAAAAATACAAGTAAATAATGAGCTTTCTCACATGAAGTTCCAGCTGGCCATGATTCAAAATATGGTAAAGAAATAAACTGAGACAAACATGTCACAGAGGAGCAAGTGGAGTTTTCTTTTTGCTCTTGTAAGAAAAAAAAAACTTAAGAGTTTATATAAGTCTTTATATTAGCACACACCAGAAAGAGTAACATAAGGTTGTCAATGCAGATGGAAGCACTTTAATTTCAGTAAATGAAGAACAATGCAGCTTCAATCATTTGTTTTAGAATGAGAGGGCACTCAACAGCCCCATGTTGTTTTAATACTGAATTTGCCCAGGCTAATTTTTTGGCCAGCTTATTATGACTTCAGGCAGAAAACATAGGCAGTGACTACATGATTCTTTTCAGTGGTAAGGCTTAGAAGTGCCACTCAAAGGTTGATGCAGTTTTTGAGTCAAATTCTTTTCTCTGCTCAGGACTATACCAGTTGCACACTACAAGAAAACTTCTGGCTGAAGTCCAAGAAGGAGCCCCACCTTCCCCCAAAATCTCTAAAGAGAGAAGAAAAAGTTGCTTTGCAATAGCTAGTGGAATTGATAATGGTATAAGCTGGCAGTTTAATTAGCATAAGTAGAATACAGGTCTTATATGGCACAGAGCTTATAAATGTTTTGAAATGTGTAGTGGAAGAAGTGGCGTGTCAGCAGAGAGCAGGAACTGACTGGGTGAGCTCTGCTGGGAAAGATGCAGCAGTTACGGTGGATACCAAGCTGAACGTGATCCAGCTGTGTATTCTTATCACACATGAAACAAACTGCAGTAGTTAAAACCTGGCTACATAAAGAAAAACATGCAATTCTCCCTCTACCCAGTGCTAGAGAAGATAAGTAGATTAAAAAACAGATCTGATTTGCCATCTGAACTAAGCTTCTAAGTAAAAAGACAACATGTTTGAATGGTTTGAAACTAAGCCATGTCTTCTCTAATATTTCAAATCTCTTGAGTGTAAGTACAGCATAAGGCATTAAGCAAAATGTTCATTGGGTATACTTCTGCATCCTGCCATAATATTGATGACTTTGTGCTTTATGCTATCTTTTATGCCACTCAGATAGCAAAAAACCAACCAAACAAAAAAGGAATCTGTCCAAATTGGCACTGCCAGTGATGTGTGAAATGCAAAGAAAACAGTTTCCTCTCAGTAAGGCATGCTGAGGTCCCAGTTATGTAAAAGAAAGGGAAACACCTTTATGATTAGTCCATAACACAAAAAAAGATTCCAGAGATGGACAGGAATGTGGTTAGAAAATTAAGAATTAAAGGCTTTAGCTTTTTTTTTTTTTTTCTTTTTTTTTTTCAAATATATGACATATTTGATTTAGCTAGCATATAGCAGAGAAAAGCAAGGGTAAAGGCTTGCTTGGGAGGGCACTGTGGTTTGACAAAATTGCAGCTCTGGTGTTCACTGAAGCACCTCCTGCTCGTAAGTCTCTTCCTTAAAGAAACTCAGAATTTGTTCTAGCTACCGTGAAAGGCTGAGAGGACTGCAAGGGATCAGAGTCACCAAGATGTATAATACTTTTCCAAACATCTCACTACAACTTCTTATAATAAAATCAAGGTTTTATCCAGTTAGAATGTACAGCAATCTTCTTTGCCTGCTAAAGCTGGGACAGGGAATACAAAATCTGTAATACTGTAATATGAAGTACTGTTTGGCAGCTGTATAGAAAGCCACCAGCAAATGATCACTCTGTCACACATTTTAGTTTTTAGTTTGGTATAGTTATGAAATCACTGCTTAGAAACCACCACATTGCACAGGATGTCAAAAGGGCATATTTCAGCATTCAAACTTCATCCACTGTTAGACTTGGAGTGATTTGTATTAATCACAACATAGGAAACTTGGTTTAAAAAGAACAAACAAAAAAAACAAGCTTGTGAATTTCTTCCAGTCTAGAAGTGATGTGTTATGATATTAAAGAATAATTTTTAGTGTCTTTATGTGTTAATATTTTAAAAGACTACCCCCACGCATGCTCATTTTCATTCTCAAGTATTTTCTGACTGTGGAAATACTGAATGTGGTCAGATAACAAATTATACACTACCATTCACCAACATTGTTAATGTTCATTTTCACCTCTTATAACAATCTGAAGCAGAAAAGGGCCCTAAAATGCTGTAAACCTGATGCAATGTGAGCGCAATCAGAATTTAATATTAAAAAGTCACCTTGTTATTTACTTCAGAGGATAGTCAGATTTTTATGAGGGTTATTATCTAGACATAATTAGAACTGGTTTTCATGATGATCAAAGCTTTCGTGGGCTGAAGCAGAGGCTAGCTTTGATACTAGAGGTTAACCCTAAGAACCACTTTAGTCCACTCTCACTGTCAGCTTTAAGTTTTACAGAACCCACGATGCCTAAAATTTGGACTTTTGCTTAAAAAAGGTACAGCAGTTGAAATAACATTTTCACTGCTGGTTTCTGTTTTACACATCACTAATTTGGCAAATGTTTATTACCAGTGTAGTTCTAATGCCATATTTGGTCAGAATTAGCCTCCATTGCACAGCTGGGACACACATCACCATCATTATTTGAAACTTTGTTCTCACAGACACACCTAGTCTTCTCCCAGTGCCTGAAATACAAAGCTTTATGCTGAAGCAAGCAATCAGCAGAGAACAGCAGTTGTTGGGTACACTGTTTTCCCACAGAAGTTTCTTCCTCCTTTAATCACTCTCCTAATGACTATACAATATACTTTCACATCCAGATCAACGAATTCTTAAAAAAGAAACCTGTGCTGCAGGAAGACATCCAAACCACAACTTTCCTATAACAATGAAATAAATTCTCTTCCATTTCTGAAATTATCATCCTATTTGTAAGTGTCATGGTTACCTTACTATATTCCAGCTACATCAGATTATTACAGTGTTTTCTCTATGCTACAGAAATGAGACTAAACCAGCCCTTAGACCATGAATTTGAAAGGAGAATGTAATTTCAAGCCTTATTCTTATCTAGTGCTATGCACTAGAATTAGCCAGAGAAATTGAAATGTCTAACTCTGACCTTTATTACATTGTTCACTGGCCCTGAAAGACTTTGTTCAATGTTGGCCCCATTGCCACTACCATGGGAATTCTGTGCCTCCTGGGCTGACTGTCAGGTCCTGCCACAAGGCAGGAGATACAAACACCTTTTCCTGGCATTCTCTTGGAAATCCAAATGTATCAAGGTCAAGTCACCTGTGTGCACACCTCTGAGTTGGCAAACCATGCCAAAGCATCCTGAATATCTGTGGAGGACTCTAGAAAGGGGATGCACCCCACCTTTTCCATTAACAGAAAACCTAGCTGTCTGGGCTGGAGGAAAACCAGAGCCATGCTTGAACACACAGCCTTGGACACGCTTGGAGATTCCAACTCCTGTCTGCAAGTCTAGTGGACCTCCAAAATTCCTGTCTAGCATGGGCCAGCATGCAAATTCTTGAACAGTCACAGAATTTGAGAGACCCCAAAGTTCCTTTCTGATGAGGACTGATGTGGAAGGGTCCTCATTTTAACAACATCAAGAGACCAGTGATTGTCTTCAGTGTTACCCTGGCTCACTTATGAGCATATTTAAAACAAAAACAGTATGATGACCTTTCCTTGCCTGACATTACCAAAAGAATCCTGCAAAGGTGGGGATATATAGAAGAGCTATCAAAAAAGACCCAAAACCCAGATGCAAGA